CCTCTCATTGATATTTCTACCTTTCTCTCTCTCTCCCTTCCTCTCTGAAATCAGTAAAAATATATTTTAAAAAAATACAAAAGATCAATGAAACAAAGAGTTAGTTCTTTGAAAAGATAAACAAGGTTGACAAACCTTTAACCAGATTCATCAAGAAAAAAAGAGGACTCAAATAAATAAAATCAGAAATGAAAGGGAAGAAACAACTGACACCAAAGAGATACAAAAGACTGTAAGAAAATAACAAGCTGTGGTGTGTTTACACAATGGAATACAACCTGGCTGTAAAAAAGAAGGAAATCTTACCCTTTGCAACAGAATAGACGGACATGGAGAGCATTATGCTAAGTGAAATAAGTCAGTCAAAGAAAGACAAGTACCATATGATTTCACTCATATGTGGAATCTAACGAACAAAATGAACTACAATAGACATTCTCATAGTAGAGAGCAGGCTGACAGCCTGTGGGTGGGTGAAGGGGTTGAGTAAAATAGAAAAAAGAAACACGTATGGACACAGACAACAGAGAGGTGATTGCCAGGGGGGGGCAGTGTTGGGGGTGATAGAGGAGGGTATGGGGTGATAAACTGTGATGGACAGAGACTTGACTTGGGGTGGTGAGCACCCAATACAGTGTACAGATGATGTATTACAGACCTGTGCACCTGAAGCCTGTATAATTTTGTTAACTAGTGCCATCCCAATAAATTCAATAAAAAAGAAAGTAGAGCAAGACTACGCATGTTCCTGGCTACTTAGTGCATAAACAGCTCCATCAGAGTTCTTCCCGAAAGGATGCTAGGTGTTGCAGAAGAAAACTTTGTTGAACACCCTAAGTAAGGTAACTAAGTCATCGGTGAGCTAACGATAGCAAGCGCATTTAAAGTCCAGGAAAGGCAGAGAACTACACGAGGGTCTCCAAATGGCAGGCGTAGTGAGAATAAGATTTCTGCCGGCCGGTGTGGCTCAGCAGTTGGTTGAATGTCGACCTATGAACCAGGAGGTCACAGTTCGGTTCCTGATCAGGGCACATGCCCAGGTTGCGGGCTGGATCCCGTGTGGGGCGTGCAGGAAGCAGCCCATCAATGATTCTCATCATTGATGTTTCTATCACTCTCTCCCTTCTTCTCTGAAATCAATAAAAAAATATAAAAAAAATTAAGATTTCAAAGAGAAGCTAGTTTAAAATAAAGCATTAGAGTATACTTGGAGAAAAATAATAGACTAACAAATGAGACACAATTGATATATTCTCTCCCACTAAATCAAAAGCAAATCTACGTTGTGTTTTAATAGTGTTAAAGTTACTTCATTACTGTACCTTATCACCCTTCTTCACTGTTCTGGTTGTCAATTTGCTGATGGCTTTCTTGGCTGCATCTCCAAGACGACGCTATAGACATTGCAAAGAAAAACAGACATTAAGTGCAAGATCTCTGAATAATGTTCTTTACTTTAAAATAATTAAATGTATAAAGTCCCTATCTACATCACTCTCCATGTCACAGCATATGAGAGGGCTCCAAAAGAGAATTAAAAGTTAGAGAAACTGGCAGTTTTCTTATAGATCCAGTATTCTGCTTGAATAATTAAAAAGGGAATATAGCTAAAGGGCCAGATGGCATAATCACTGCTGCGTTTTGTATTTAATAAGCATTGGGAATATTCCAGCATTATCAAAATCTACTTGTACATGTCAGCGCTCCCAATAGTTTTTTATTCTGCTCTATGGACGCCCACTGTTAGATGTTTAAGCTCCGTCTTGGTGAGAGGAAACCTCCAATGCTCCTTGAAATAGCTCATCACATTACGGGTGGGAGAAGGGGCCTGGCCATGAATCCTACTTCTGCCTGTCACTCAGCTGTCATCTTCGGAAGGTCTATTTACCTTTCCAGGGTTGAGTCATTTTCATTTACCCGAGAGGGTTAAGTCAGAGAGTCCCTGAGGCTGGAACATTTTGCCAGGCACTGAGAGCTAGCACTGCCAGATACCAAGAACCCAAAGATGAAAAGACAGAGGACCTCTGATCTCGCAAAGCAAACGGAACTGGGGCCAGCCTCCTCCAACAGCGCGTGCCCTCGGAGCATGGCAGCGCCACGCTGAGGCAGGCCCGAGGGAGAGGGCCAAGGAGCCGTGCAGGGGAGGCGCTGAGGAAATGCCGCCTGAGCTCAGGCTGGGAAAACGGGCAGGAAAAGCGTAAGGGTCACCAGGGCGATTCCGACAAAGAAGAACCTAGTGAAGGCAGAGTGTGACGTGTGGGCACGTGAGGGGAGTTACAGGTCAACACAACCAGGCTGAGCACCATTTCACAGTTCAGATTAGAATGCCTGGGAGTCAGAGGTCCTGCTGATAATTACCCGGGACAATCGGTCCGAAAGGGCCCCTGGGGACACATGGCCCCTTGACACACAGCCAGGTTCCACACTGTGGGGATCACAGGAGGAATACCTTGGGTTCTGTCCTGAGGATAAACAAAGTCATAAAAACATAAAAAATTAGGGGTAATTAAAAATATGCAAGGAAAATAGTTTAATGAACTTCTTTGCACCCACAAACCAGCTTCAATGATCATTATTTTATCTATATTTTTCAGCTATTCTCCCTCTTTATTGTAGGAGAGGTTTTCAAAGCACATCACAAGCTTGTATAATTTCACGTATAAAGCCTTCACTATATTTAACAATGGGCTTTCATTTGGTGCCACTGTCTTATCTAACAAAATGAACAATAATCAATCAACCTCATCAAATACTCAGACTATAGTATAATTTTCCTAGTTGTCTCCAGAATGTCTTTTTATAGTTAGCTTGTTTGAATCAGGATATGAAGTCCAAACACTGCATTTGGTTGCTATGCCTCTCAAGTAAGTCTCTTTTAATATATGAGTCCCCTCCATAATATATGTATATATACGTATATATATAGAGAGAGCGCCTCCAGATGTTTTATATCATATATAATAAAAGGGTAATATGCAAATTGACCTAATGGCAGAATGACCAGTCACTATGATGTGCACTGACCACCGGGGGCAGATGATCAACAGAGGAGCTGTCCCCATCCTGCAGGCCCCGATCACCCGATGGGGAATGGCGAACTGGGGGTGGTGGTGGCAGACACAGGTGATGCCAGGCCAAGCCCCCACCCTTCCGGTCACCCCACACACAGAGGGCGGCTGGCATTGGGGATGGGGCTGACGAGCGGACAGGAATGGCCAACCTCTTGGTCCCTCCCCCCGATCAGCAGGCTCCAATTGCCTGATGGTGAGCAGGGAACCGGGGGTGGGTGGCAGTGGGGGGCGGAGCTGGCAGCCAGGGAAGATGGCCCTGATCTCATGTCGGGCCTAGGGTCTGTACCCTGTGCACAAATTTCATGCGCCAGGCCTCTAGCATAAATATATATGTAAATAAGTATCAGCCTCATGGAGGTATAACTGACTTGTAATAAACTGCATATATTGTGTACAATGTGACGTTTTTACAAGATCCAAAAAACTGTCACTATGATCAAGATAGTGTATCTAGCTCTAGCTGGTTTGGCTCAGTGGATAGAGTGTCAGCCTGCACACTGAAGGGTCCCGGGTTCAATTCCAATCAAGAGCTGGTACCTAGGTTGCAGGCTCCTCCCGGGCCCTGTTCGGGGCTTGTGCAGGAGGCAACCAATCAATGTGTTTCTCTCACATCGATATTTCTCTGTGTCTTCTCCTCTCTTTTACTTTCTCTAAAAATCAATGGAAAAATCCTCAAGTCAGGATTAAAAGCAAAAAAGAAAGATAGTGTATCTACCATTCCACCAATGCCCCTGCAGTTCTTACTCCTTTGTCCCCCCACCCTCCCACCCCATTGCCGGTGACTTATTTTCTGCCACTATACCTGCATTTCATGAGTTTTACAAAAGGGAATGATATTTACATTTATTTACATAGATGGAATGTACTACTTTGTGTATGGTTTCTTTTACTTAGTATAACTATCTTGAGATTAATCATGTTGCTGCATGTATCAACAGTTTATTTTTCTCTTATGCTATGCAGTATCCTACTATGCAGTATCCCACTATACAGATATACTGCAATTTACCTTTTTATGGGGCATGAGTACTATTATCCAGATTAAAAAAACAACAACTTCCCCCAAAGAGTGAGGATATTTATTGATGAGAGAGAGAGAGAGAGAGAGAGAAAGAGAGAAAGAGAGAAAGAGAGAGAGAAAGAGAGAGAGAGAGGAGAGAGAGAAAAACACTGATTTGCTGTTCTATTCATTGGTTGATTCTTATATGTTCCCTGATCGAGAATCAAACCTGCAACCTTGTTGTATCAGGACAACACTCTAACCCAGCGGTCGCCAACCTTTCGGACTTCACGGACCACCAGTGGTCCACGAATCACCAGTTGATGACCGCTGCTCTAACCAACGAAGCTACCTGGTGTTCTTAGAGAAAAATCAATAAAGTTGATAAGCCTCTGGCCAAACTGAAAGGGGAAAAGAGAGAAGGCAGAAATCAGCAATATAAAAAAGAGAGCTGATTGGTGGCGTTGCTCTTCTATCAGTCAGGGGCAGAGCAGATGGACAGTCCTAAGCTCATCCTAGCTCGATGCCTGTGCCGGTGGCCAGAGCTGTTTCATGGCTGAGGCACATAAAAAGAGAGAGAGAGAGAGAGAGAGAGAGAGAGAGAGAGAGAGAGAGAGAGAGAGACACGGACGAGAGAGAGAGAGAGAGAGACCTGGCCAATGTGACTCAGTGGTTAAGCTTCGGCCCCTTCACCAAAGTGTCATGGGTTCGATTCCTGTTCAAGGGCACATACCCGGGTTGCAGGTTTGATCCCTGCCCCAATGGGACGAATGGGGAGACAACCAATCGATGTGTCTCTCTCACATCGATGTGTGCGTATCTCTCACAGTCCTAAGCTCATCCTAGCTCAATGCCTGTGCCGGCGGCCAGAGCTGTTTCATGGCTGAGGCACATTAAAGAGAGAGAGAGAGAGAGAGAGAGAGAGAGAGAGAGAGAATGAATAACATACAAATCTTCCTGAGGTCCACAGAGACAGAGAGAGAGAGAGAGACCTGGCCAATGTGACTCAGTGGTTAAGCTTCGGCCCCTTCACCAAAGTGTCATGGGTTCGATTCCTGTTCAAGGGCACATACCCGGGTTGCAGGTTTGATCCCTGCCCCAATGGGACGAATGGGGAGACAACCAATCGATGTGTCTCTCTCACATCGATGTGTGCGTATCTCTTTCTCTCCCTTTCCTTCTACTCTGTCTAAAAATCAATGGGAAAAGTAGCCTTGGGTAAGGATTTAAAAAAAGAGAGAGATAATATCACTGCTGATTGTAAGGATCATACAGGGAGTATTATGAACAACTCAATGGACAAATTTCAGGAAAGACACTAATGACCAAAGCTTACTCAAGATGAACAGAAATTAAATAGCCCCAATTACTAAAGGAAACTGCACTTGTAGTTTAAAACCTTTCCCCCAAAAGAGAACTCCAGGCAGATGGTTTCTGGGTATTTCTAACAAACATTTACGGGGGGAGGGGAACTCTACACAAACTCTAGAAAATGGAAAAGGCAGGAATACCTCCCATTTTCTGATACCAAAACTAGACAAAAGCATTCCAGGACAGAAAGCTACAGACCAGAATCCCTCGTGAACACAGATGTAAAAATTCAAAAAAACCCTCAGCAAATTATTTAACAATATATGAAAACGATAATTCATCATGACCGGTGGGGTTTATCCCAGGAATGCAAGCCTGATTTAACATTAAAAAGTTAATCCAAGGCCCTCACTGGTTTGGCTCAGTGGATGGAGCGTCGGCCTACAGACTGAAGGGTCCCAGGTTCGATTCCAGTCAAGTCATGTACCTTGGTTGCGGGCACATCCCCAGTGGGGGGTGTGCAGGAGGCAGCTGATTGATGTTTCTAACCCTCTATCCCTCTCCCTTCCTCTCTGTAAGACATCAATAAAATATATTTTTAAAAAAGTTAATCAAAGGAGACATATGTAAAACTTTAGACAATAAATAAACTAGAAAAGTTAATCGATGTAATTTGGCATATGAACAGATAAAGGGAACCATATGATCTCTATAGATGAAGAGAGGAAATTTTGCCAAAATTAAGCATCTATTCTGGATTTTAAAGCTTTTAGCAAAACAGGAATAAAAGGTAGCTTCCTTATGCTGATGAGGAGCACCTATGAAAACTGACAGCTGTCATCATGCTTATGGTGAAGACTAAACACTCATTCCGAAGATGAGGAACAAGAGATCTGTGCTCTGACTTTGATTTCTACATTGTACTAGAGGTTCTGACCAACACAACAAGGAAGAAAGAAAAGAACCATTATTAGAAATGAAGAAGTAAAACTGTATTCATACACAGATGATA